TGAGCTGCTGGTGCGTAAAATCGTATTCCCTCAGAGTTTGTTCAAGTCCACAAACCTCTGTCTGGGACTGAGCCCCACTGACATGGCGCCTCGAGTCACTAGAAGAGTCCGACAGTGGGTGCGTTGGTGATCGCGTCCAACATAAAAGCTCCTTAACGGAAACACGTCTTCTGGACTCTCTGCGTGACAGTTTCCGGCGAGGAGTGGGTGTCCCTACAGGAGGTCCGGAAACCTCACCACTGTTTTCGCTGGAAGTATCTCTGAGCCATACCCCCATCTCCCTATCACACAGTTCAGCTTCTCTCACCTAGCTGGATCCCTCTACAGCTGCAGAGACTCTTCCAACCACTCAGAGACCTATCACCTCCCTCAGTTCAGCTTATCTCACCTTGCTGGTTCCCTCTTCAGCTGCTGAGTCTCTTCCAACCTGTCTGAGTCCTTTCACCTCCCTGCCTTCCGATGGCAGTTCCCTGACATCCACCTCCCCTCCAGGGCCCCCTTCACCCCCTCTCGCCCCCTCCTCTACGGGCGGTGAGGAGGCAAAACCCGGAATGAACTTCCTTCATCTTCCGATGTCTCGAACACTTCTCTCCACCTGTTGCGGTTCCTGGTCTCGAAGCACTCCTCCTCCTCCGAGTCCATCTCCCCTTCCCCTTCCGATTCTGGGAATCCTTCCAACTCCTCCTCCTCCTCAGTGGTCCCAAAGTATTCCCTCCGGAACCTCTCCACAGGCTGAGGTTTCCTCGGGAACCTTTGATGGAACGTTTCTATCAATACCTCGTCATTGATATCTTCGGCCATTACCCACGTGTTTTCTGACTCCGGTTCTCCTTCCCACGCTACCAAATACTCCACCTGATTCCCCTTCCACCTGGCATCAAGGATTTCTGCCACATGACTGCTGCATTCTCTTTCTTCTATGACCGGTCCCCAGTGGCCATCCCTCTCGTCCCCCCTCGTACGGTGACAGTAACGACCTGTGAAATACTGGGTGCAGTTTCATGTGGTTGGGTAACCGGAGCCTGAAAGCCACTGGGTTGACCTGTTGAATGACCTCAAAGGGACCCAACCTCCTGGGTCTTAATTTCTTACAACCTCCTTTGAACGGCAACCCTCGGGTTGACAGCCACACCCTATCTCCAACCCTTATGGTTTCACCTTCCCTTCGGTTCTTGTCTGCCTGCCTCTTGTATTCTTCCTTCGCCCTTTCTAAGTTGAGTTGGAGCTGACGGTGGATTGCTTCCATTTCTTCTACAAAATGCTCGGCTGCCGGTACGCTCCATCTCTCCCCTTCCCCCCCTGGGAAAGCCCTGGGATGACACCCATAATTAGCCAAGAAGGGGCTCATCCCTGTGGACACATTCTCGGCATTGTTGTAGGCAAATTCCGCCAGCGCCAACTTTTCTACCCAGTCATTCTCTCTGTCATTGACATAACACCTCAGGTATTGCTGGAGGACACCATTTGCTCTTTCCGCCTGCCCGTTGGTTTCAGGGTGCCGGGCAGTCGAAAAGTTGACCTCCACCTGCAGTAAGCTCATGAGCTTCCTCCAGAACCTGGAAGTAAATTGTTTTCCTCGGTCTGAGACCACCCTCAATGGCACCCCGTGCAACCTAAAAATGTGTTCTACAAATAACTTCGCTGTCTCTTCCGCCGTGACTGCATGCGAGCAAGCTACAAAGTGGCACATCTTTGTTAGTAGGTCTACCACCACCATGATGGCTGTTTTCCCTTTGGACTTCGGCAGATCAGTCATAAAATCTATCGACACTGCCTCCCAAGGTCGTTCTGGTGTTGGTAAGGGTTCTAATAGCCCCGCCGGCGCCCGCCTTTCCCCTTTGGCTCGCTGGCACTGCTCGCACCCTCTTACATACTCACGTACATCCTCCCTCACCTTAGGCCACCAAAATTCCCTGGTGACCAACCACATG